TCTCTTCTACTAGAAAAAATGTATGATTATCCTTTGTTTTTGGTATTTTAATTTCTGTTCTTATTCTTTTGATTTTTTATTTTTGTTCTTATTTTGTTATAAAAGTTTTGTTTATTTTCAGTTTAGTTTTTTTTTCAATTAAAATTTCTCACATATTATTTTTTTATTTTGGTTCTTATTATTTTAATTTAAAATTTTTTTCGTGGCCCTTTTGTTAAAGTTTCATTGACTTTCAATTTTATCATTCAGTTAAATTTTATGTTTTTTTTTTTTAATTTAACCTTCATTCATTTGATTTTTTTATTTGTTAAAGTTATTTTCATTTCAATTTAGCCTTTCAATTGAAGAATTTTGTTTGCTCTCTAGTTTATTTTTTATTTTGATTTTGATTTTTATTCTTTTAATTATATTTTTTAGATCCTTTTGTGTAGTTGATTTCTTTTTTCAGTTTTATTTTTATATTTAATTTGTTGGGGATTGAGTTTTGTATTTTTTTTATTTGTAATGCTTTTAATCTAATAATTAGGATCACAGATTTGAAAAGTCAATGTCATTTGACATCTTGTTTTTGCTTATTTTCTTTTACAATCTTATTATTCTACATTAGTTTTTTTTAAAATATTAATTTTGTGATTATATTCAATCTCTTTTCAATAAATTTATCTCCGTCTTATAACTTAGACCACTAGTTTTACAAGCTTTTTTTAAAATAAATTTTTTTATATTTGATTTTTAAAGACATTACTCTTATTTGTCAATAATTTTTTTTTAATAAATATGAGCTTTATTTTTAGCTTTCTATGAGTTTCGAGATTATTGAATTTTTTTATTGTCTATTTTATTATCTATTTTAATTATGTTATATTATTATTTACTATTTAGCCGGTACTTTTCATTTAAGTTTTACTTACAATCCAAGTTTATATTATATTTTTCGTGTTATGTTAAAAAAATATTTTTTTAATAATCTTACTAGTAACTATTAATTATTTGTGAAGAATCATGAAAATTTAAAAAATAAAATCCTTGTTATTTAAACTATTTTTCTTCTAAATGATAATCTATAGTCAATACTTATTTTTGCTTATTTTCTTTTACAATCTTATTATTCTACATTATTATTTTTTAAATATTAATTTTGTGATTATATTCAATCTCTTTTCTATAAGTTTATCTCGGTCTCATAACTTAAACCACTAGTTTTACAAGTCTTTTTTTTTAATTTTTTTTTGTATTTGATTTTTAAAGACATTACTCTTATTTGTCTATATATTTTTATTTTTATATATAAATATAAGCTTTATTTTTAGCTTTTTATGAGTTTTGAGATTCTTAAATTTTTTTTATTGTTTATTTTATTATCTATTTTAATTGTGTTATATTATTATTTACTATTTAGTTGATACTGTTAATTTAAGTTTTACTTACAGTACAAGTTTACATTATATTTTTCGTGTTATGTTAAAAATATATTTTTTTAACCATCTTACTAGTACCTATAAATTATTTGTGAAGAATCATGAAAATTAAAAAAAAAAAAATCCTTGTTACTTAAACTGTTTTTCTTCTAAATGATAATCTATAGTCAATACTTGTATATTTTTTTTTAATAATTGTCACCAAATTACTAAAACCACATACCATCCATTTAAATAATATGCAACCCATCAGAGATCAACACATGAATTCCCAAAACGATTTTAGTTTTCCTAGATTTATTCAGATGAACACGTCCGAATATAAAACAAGGTCAAGGCGCTTCACAGATTATATAGTCCACGAAGGCGGCATTCAAAACTTCAACTCGCTGCCTGGATAAAGTACCTATTCAATTACATTAAACAATTTCTACTAGTTCTGTGAATTTGAAATCGTTGATCTTTACGGATACAAATTGATGATTTAACAAATTAAAAGAAAAGAAGAGGTACATATAAAGTTCAAAACTGTTATGGTCACAAAGGCTTTCTTTTCTTTTGCAGTTTCTGCAACTTTCTCCACTTCAGATAAATCTGATATGATAACCCAGAGAACACCATGACCACGCATCCCCATTGTTTTGCTGATAGGGGATTGCCGCTCAGCACCGAAGAAACCACAATGCTGACAAACTTGCGGGTTGTGGTAATGGTCGTGTTAGCTAGAGATCCAAAGCGGCTAATGGTTAGAAAGATAAAATTCTGACCCACAGCGCCACACAGGCAGTAGAGAAAAATGTCCCATGCTGCTTCTGGATGCTGCTTGCAGAATTCGATTGCCTCATATCCAATACCATGTGGCCAGCCAAACATGTAGATCAGGTTGTATATTGTTCCCCACAAATTCATTCCCAGCATTATATCCCAAGCGCTTGTCTTTGGATACCTGATCAACCCAGAAAATTATTGAGAAATGAAGATATTTTGAGCAAAAATTAAAATGGATCCATGATATATCCCTGCTACGAAAAAAAATAATAATCTGGAGATATTCCTCCATTAATCATGCACACGAGGCTCATAGCAGCCCTAGTTTAATTACCTTCCGATTTCAGAAGGGACATCAATTGAGATTTATAAGAGATCGTTTGTGACAAAAGCCAAACTCTTGACCAAAAGAGTATCTCCTCCAGGAAATTATTCTTAAGCTACCAAAAACAAGAGAGACAGAGAGCGCTGAGGGCTGTGGAATATAGGACCAGCAAGAATAGAATTTCGGAGAAGTCAACAAATAAAGGACACCTGAGGACTATAGGTGCAAGTTCTCTCCTGAATACTTCTAACTTGGCTAAGATTTCTGTGCATAACTGAATGTTTCTCCAACAGGCTGGCTAAAGTTGTTCCCTTAAATATTACTGAAAGTAAAACACACTTGTTCATTCAAGCGATGGATGAAATAAACAGGAGGGGGATCATTTTTCTTTTAACCAAGTGTACTGACACTTTTAAGCTGTAATAACATGATGACGATGCGCAGCCAGAAGCTTAGAAATAGCCAAGAGGGTTAGAGATGAAGGTATATTTATACATACCTGGCTTTTAGTGAGTCCTGAGTAGCGTTAGTAAATCCATCGAATGCAAGGTTCAAGAAACAAAGGCCATATCCGAGGGGTGCATTTGGATGTGCTAGTTTATTGATGGTCTTCGAGCTAGTCTGAAATGATTCCAACCCCAAGCAACCAGTAAGAAGAATCATGTAATTAATAATAATAACGCAGCAGATGATATTTTACTTCCGGTCACCTTCATGAGAGCAAATGTGGATACTCCTCCAGCAACAAGGAAAGTGCAAAGATACTCAGGAAGGGTGTATCTTATACCATACACCAGACTACCCATCAACATCACTGCCACAAACCAAAACCATATCCCATCCATCACATAGATATCCATTATCAAAACACCACAGCAACGTAGTATGGTGATAATCAACCGGCCTACCTGGTATCATTTTGGATGATTTTGCCAGGACCTGGGCAGGGTAACTGATATACTTTAGGGCTTCAATACCCAAGGCTGGTCCGATTGTATTTGTAATGCCAGGGCTCCAGTATGTCCACCACGGAGCACCCATGCTGCTGCTGCTGCTACCACTCCTCGGCGACCATATCTTTATCACTGTTTTTTATGTTATGTTCAGTTTAATCATTTAATAGAATTAGCAATAGCATTGTGATTTAGAACCAAAAATAAAATGAAAATAACTTACTCATGTATGACCATATCAAGCAAACTACATTTTGCGCCAGATTTAGGAATGTCAGTTGCTCAAATCTCATCCCATCTGAACCAAATCTCTTCGTCGATCTACATCAAATTATATTCAAATTTAAAGAATGCTATCAAATACATATATATATCAGTAAATAAACACAACGTCAGAAAACGAACTTACAGAGTTTCTTGAAGAACACCTTGATATATATAAGCCGACCAGATGCCGGCTACGCAAAATGCTAACACTAACACTCGCCGGAGGCTTCCACTTCCGCCGCCTCCACCGTGTGCTTCCATTTCCGATTACGTGGCTTCCTCTTTTTTTTTTTCCTTCAGTGAGCAGGAAAACAAATTAGAAATAGAAACAGAGATCGCAAGCGACAACGAATGAACAAGCCGGAAAAGGCAGGCATTTTTAATTTAACGGCCTCAATTAACGGCTACGTATATTTTCCACGTGTTTTTGTTTTATTGGTTTGGTGACTTCATCTTCCCTTTCTTATTGGCTGCTGACACCCCTTCGCTTTCTTACAGTTTGGTGGGTTTTTTTTTTTTTTACTTAATTGAGCACTGTACTGCGAGCTTGCTCTGAGTTAATCAAATCCGACGGCTGTGATTTCTTACAGTTATTTACTTGGTGAACCAGTGCCCGGAGATTTTTTATTTTCCAGGGATGAGGTGGGGAGATATGATTGGCTGCACGAGTGTAAATTAGGAGAATGCGACGCAAGTTTTCTGCAGGAAATAAACGACACAACTTATTGAGCCATCAAGCCCAAGTGATGCCACTACAATGTCGCTTAAAATGCCTTCGTTATTTTAAAAAGCCGACACGTCATGCAAGAGCAGTCGATTTTATATTTTGAACTGTAATAAAAATTATTTTTATTTAAAAATATATTAAAATAATACATATTTTTAATTTTTAAATGTTATTTTTAACATGAAAACAATTCAAAAATACCCAAAAAAATTAATTAAGAAAAAATGTTTTAGAATATTTTAAAAATATTTCCCAAACACACTTATAGTAAAAAACAAGATAAAAATATACATGAAATTAATTAACTGATCAAATTTTATATTTGTTTCTGGATATCATCAATTTAAATCTCATGAATTTTAAAATTATTGAAGACTTGTATAATTATTAATTTTAATTTCAAAACCCATAAAATTAATTAACATCCAGCCCAACACCAACATTAATAAATAAATAAAAATAATAAAAATATACTCAAGTTTAGGACACAAGAAAAAGGGCTGAGACCACCCCTGCAGTTAACATGTTCGGTATGATGATAATAATAATAAGTAATGGCTCACACTTGCCCATCATAGAAAAATGAAAATGGACAAAAAGATGCATGGGAAGAACGAAACATCATATATCCTAGCAAGTGCCCTAATCTGAATCATCTTTGTTGACCAAGTCACCACCACTAACATATTTTGCAACAAATGATATTAACCGGAAAGGAGCTCCGATTAGTGGAGCATCCGTAAGTGGCACAGCACCACTCTTATCGTCAGTCTCAGCAGCTTGCATCTCCAAATCCGGAACTTCATTATCATCCAATGGGATTTGGACAATTTCTCCAGATCCAGCTTCTGAAGGGTATTGAACTACCACAGCAGGTTCCACTTCCAAGGACTCTAGCTTATGGCCCAATGCAGTCAAGTTTGCATTTGAATCAGCCATGGGATGAGTTCCATTGGCGATTTCAGAATTTCTAACGATAACACCTCTTCCAGTTGCTGAAGAAAAACTATCTGCTGTCCTTTGATGGTCAAGTTTAATGTACAACTCATTCACCTAAGAAACAAATATAGAGTTAAATGATAAAAAAGTCACAATACCTGCTAACACATTCCACACGAGTGCATGCACGCAAAAGCGAGCTCAAATCCACGCATTCACGTGCATAATATCAGTAAGCACCCACTGCCTTCTTGAGACCATTGGAATTAGATAAAGAAAGAGAGGATGGGGGATAGAAAACTATAAACATGGACAGTACAATCGAGGGATTGCAGAATAGCAGTTCATTACTTTCTCAACAAGGTCTGCATTCTCTGTGATCAATTTGTCGACCAGTGCACAAGCTGCTTCGATCTGGGAGTTCAATTCCTCTTTTTCAGAGCCAAGCTACATTAAACACCCAACTTTTCAATATGTTTAATCACAATATATCATGAATGTGAACACGAGAGAACAAGGAATCTCAATGTAAGACTAAAATTGCACGCACCAAAAAACTTTTTACAGCAAAAACTAATTGACACATGACCGTAAATTTGACTTCCAAAAAGCTCACAAGCTGGGTACAGGATGACAAACCTTTCCGAGATCTGATGTGTTAGCAAAGGAGACTCTCGTATTGATGTTTTGAGGCTGTAACTTCAGGTCAGACATGCTTTCCTTCAGTTGTTGGTTTTCTTTCACGAGACTATTCCTGGAATCTTCCAACTCCACCACCTGCCAGGCTTTGTTTTAATTTCCATACCAGAACAAATACATATGATGCAGAATGGCTGTGAGCTACACGTACTACTCTCTAGGATAACCAAATCTATCAGCCAATTAGCTTAAACATGACAGAGCTCATGCAAACCACATTTACAAACACAGTGAAGTTCAATAGACTGTTGCAACAGAGGCGTTGATGTAACAAAAACTACATGAATAAGACTATATACCTGCATTCGTAGTCTTGTGATGTCGATATTCATTCTAGCAATGGTTTCTTTGGTTGTATTCTGTGTCAGATCATTGATGCGCAAGTATATTAATGGTCATCTTTGATAATTCAATCTGATGACTATGAAAAGAATAAATACAAACTGTTACTGCAAGAGATAAATGCCACAACAAAGCAAGAGTAATGGAACAACTTTAAAATATTTTTTCTTGAAATTTTGTTCGTGTTATTCTTATTTAGAAGTTAATGATTATTATAATTTACCATGGCCTTAATATTTATTTAGTCAGAAACTGTACTGTATAAAACTTTATTCCATTTCCTGTTAGGCATATAGATAATTGATCTACATGGTTTTATTCTTCCTCTCTTTTTTGCTGCCTATAAAAGAACGCACACATTATGTCTTATAGACATCATTTTGATGATTAAAGATTAAGAATTGAAACCAGTATCTCCTCCAATACAATTACTATAGTTTTATCCCATTTCATTTGCTCTACTTCTCTACCCTCCTTCCTCTCCTCCCTAAACCCCTCTCCATGTACAGCATCATTCTTCAAGAACCCTCCAACTCATTACCAAGCTATGAATTGAAACCAGTTTCTCCTCCAATACAAGTCTTCAAGTTTTCTCCTATTTTATTTCCTCCGCTTATCTACCCTTTCTTCCCTCCTCTCCTCCCTAAATCCCTCTCCTTGAAACACATCATTGTGCATAAACCCTCCCATTTTCAGCACCCAACCAATTTTTCTCTCTTTCAGCTGCCCCCTTCTCCTTGTGTGTGTGTGTATCTGAAAATTTTCATTTATCAAAAGAGAATAAGAAGGCAGGTATCCTAAGAAGCTCTAATTTATGGCCAATTGCATACCCAAGCAAGTAAGCATGGCTAATAAAGCTGTTTTACCACCTGATCTATATCTGTATTGACATTTCAAAATCACCTTTCTAAATTAGAAGCTTTTGAAGATAGAGAATTATATTTGATTCTCAATAAGAAGTAAAATAGAAAAGTAAAGAAATGATGATTTGCCTTTTTTAATAGCAGATCAATATTTGCGAAAACAACAAAAAGAAAAACAGGAGACTCTGTTATAATGGAAGCGGTGCAATTAACAATGGTTTAAATATGTTGCAATGGTTTAAAACAGCTTGAATACATATGATATGAAACAGCCAATACCCAACAGGTACGTGATAGTTCAGCTCACTAATAAATCAAACAAATTCTTGTGAGAAGGAAAAAAAGAACATGGGAAAAAGCAAACACAACACACATAACCAAAGGTGATTACCTCTGATAAGGTCCAAGAATCTTTATCACTCTCTAATAGTCTAATCTTTTCCCCTATGCTTGCCTGTGGAACATATCACAAAGTTATTTAACTATATTGATAAAATTTCAATTATTTTTTTTATCAAGCACTCTTTCTCATGAGCACACGAGAAAAGACCAGAAATGAAATGCATAATGCCAATCAATTAATCACTTCTTGTTATGGTTTCACTGAAAGGCTGTGAGGCATGAAATATACAGCTTTTAAAACCAGAGCAGCCTTCTCATCCTGTAAGTGGTTGAGTTTCTCCCCAAAGCCAGCCTGCATGTGATATGATAAAAAGTCAACAGTGCATCTTATAGGCTGCATACATACAGCGTTAAAATGATATGGTATGATGCTTATAATGAAAACATATAGCTGGCAATCTAGTGATAAGCTGGGTATAGTCAAATTGCATATTAATATGCAACACGACGTTTTCCAACACTGGTTCCAAGGCTTATCATGCTAAAGAGAAATGCCCTTGAATGTGTTAAAAGTTCCAAAAGAGAAAAGATTTATTTATAAGCCTATAAAACCAAAATTACCTCTTTCTGAAGCCAGAAATCTTTTTCACTCTGCAATTGTACAATTCTCTTCTCTAATCAGCCTGCAAAACATCAATTTTAGGGCAGACAGTAAGAGTACATAAAGCATAAAATTAAGATTCAGCTGACTGTTTATACTACCTCTTTCTGCTGGTGGGAATCATTTTCAGTTTTCAATTGTTTGATTGTATCTTCAAAGGTAGCCTGTAAAAATTATAGTCAAGCGACTTTCTTTCCCCAAAAATATCCAACAAACAGATTGGAACTTCAGTATCATGAATGAAACAGAGGAGGGGGGAAAAAAACCATTTTCCTGTCTAAACATAACTCAAAACAAATTTCATCATCTATCTAATGATTAAAAAACATTTCCGCTACCTCTTTTTGTATGCACAAATTGTTTACACTTCTTAATTGATTGATTGTATCTTCTAAGGATGCCTGCAAAAACACATTGCAAACAACGACAAGAGACTTAAATAATTAGGAAAAGGTAGAAAAACCTAGCCTCGTGAAGTCCACAACATATTAATCCATTCCATCCCACCATTGAATGCATTGATATTACCTCTTTCTGCATGTACGAAGCACTTTCATTCTGTAACTGTTTTACTGTCTCTTCTAAGGTAGCCTGTAAAACGCAGTAAGTTCCTTCATGCTTTGCATAAATGTCAAAACAAAGAAACCAATTTAATATTACAAGACGAAGTGTGTGTGAAGTAATTCAGATAATTTTTGTCAGAAACATTCCCACAGTTAGATTAAGTTCGTAGTACCTCTTTCTGTATGTGTGAATCATTTTCATCTTGTAATCGTTTGATTGTCTCTTCAAAGGTATCCTGTTAAATGCAGTACATTACTTCTTGCGAGAATTAAAACAAAAAAAGAATAATTCAACATGACAACAGGAAGAGTGTCTTGTGCATGAGCACGTATGCACGTGATAATTCACACAATATAATTCAGCACCTGCGTCCTTGTGAGTGAATCGGTTTCATTTTGTAAATGTTTGTTTGTCTCTTGTAAAGCAGTCTGTACACAAGAAAAGAAACAAAGAATATATTTCCTCTTCAAAACTAATATTAAAAACAAAGATATGGGAGATAGTGTCACATAAATGATAGGGAGAAGAAAGAGGGAAGAAACAAGGGTGAAAAGCTAACTGATTGAATGCCTCACCTCTCTTTTCAGCCAGGGCTGCAAAACAGAATTTTAAAACGGTGGGATCATCACCAGCAGTCAATCCTACAGAAAATCTAAGTAGAAGCAGCAAAAAGAAGAATCTGAAAACATGTAGCAATTAAAAAATGGTCACAAGTACTTACCTATCTTCCCTTAACATGAGGAAAATGTAGACAAAAAGACGTGATAAAATACACTATAAACCATAATCTCAGAAGTTTTCGTTAAGGAGTTCAAAAAATGCAACGTGCAAACTCCATTGTCAAATCTTGCAGATTCAAGGAGAGCGTGGCAGAAGACAAAGCGCTTTTTGGGTTATCATTATTAATCAAAACGTAACTTAATTTATCAACAAAAGACACAAAAAGCTCACCCCTAACACGTCAATAATCCAGTCATATCATCTGGCAGATTATTTTTCTCCTTCCTTTTCATTTCCATTTTTTATTACAAAATTAAGAGGCTAATGCTCCATTTATTTATTAATTAATGAACAAGAAGCAATCGAACCCACATAAAACAAAACTCAATCATTACTAAAGCGAGCGCGCGCACAAAAATTGGTTTTAAAATTTAAAAAAAAAAAGGAAAAAAAGAATTGAGCTCTTACAGAACGCGGTGCTGCTCCTTTGGGTTTATCATAATGTCCATTAAAATCCTCTGCGTCCACGACATCACCATTTGAAGAAACCTCTATAAATTGATTATCATTAACACTACCATGATTTTGCCCATTAATATTATTATTGTTGGTGTGGTTGTTCTGCTTGCTTTTCTTCTTCTTGTTTCTTTTCTTCTTCTTCCCTTCATCCATTTTTAACGAACCTCCGAGATTCCCTTAAATTCACAAAAACCTGCAATCACATCCAGAAAGAAAATAATCACTGACCAATTAAATTAAATCTTACTTTGATTTTCTAGCAATTAGATCTGCATCAAGAAACAACTATACTTTTTTTAAAAAGCGAGTAAATTCCATATATTGGATGCATTGATCTCAAACACATACTGATGCACTAAAGAACTCCTCCTCCTCTTCTTTAATTTAAATTCGAAACGTTTATTTGCAAAGGAGAGTGAAAACCTCTCTTCTCCGCGCTGGTAACGGCTCCTTTTTCGTCGATTGAAAATAAGAAGAGAATAGATGCTGCGATCGTTGATAAAAGAGAGGTATTCAAATCAGGTGGCTGTGACTGTTGCTCTCCCTTATGCATCTAGTGGACCAGAGAGTAGGGGATTTCACCTTTCTTTATTTTCCGTAGATGAGGTGGCGTTATATAACTGGTTATATTAGAGGACGTGGGAGGGAAGATAGATAAGCGACACCATGACTTATCAAGGTGTTGACTTCCGAACCGTCATCCATGATCCTAATACCACGCCGTTTAAGGTGAATGACAGTAAGTCAACAGTTGATTGAGAACAAAATAATAAGGGTCTGTTTGACACTCTGATTTGCTCCAATAATTTTTTAAAAAAATTTAAATTTTAAAAAAAATATGTTAAAAATACACACATATTAACAAAAATTTAAAAATAATTTTTTTTGTTTTTTCTCAACCACTTATGCATGGCTATTTTATTTTATTTTGCAATGTACTGGATGATGGTTGATTAATACATAAATGGATATGAATTAAAAATAAGTTAAGATTAGAAGTAGTATTTAAAATTATATCTAATATATAGAAACAAAAAAATAAAAATAAAACAAGTATCGGTTTCTATGTTTTTAGGTGGAGTAACAATGCCAACTAGAATTATTTATTGGATTAATATCATAGTATCGTTTGCTTATCTAGTAAATTACCTGTAAACTGTAATTCTTAACATGTTTCCGAGCTAAAAGCTCCATCAATACTTTTAATTAAATATATTGAATTGTACGTAAAATAAAACAATTTTTATTGGAATATTTATACCAAAAAAACTTCTTAACATTCGAAAAATTTTTGGTCGAAAAGATTTTTTAACATACATACATATATATATACATATATATATATAATTCAAAAAATATTTAATAAAAAATTAATATGAGTCTTTTGATATTTTTTTAAATACCTATATTTTATGTTATATTAAATAAATATAAGGGTACTTATAACAAAAAAAACTGTATTAAAATAATTTTTAAATTAAAAATAAATAGTCAAAATTATTAATTCAATTTATTTCCAATGTATTTTAAATAATATAATTAAAGTTAATTCTATATTTTAATATTTTATTATAAATATAAAAATTACAATATTTCAAACTTAGTTAGTAATTGAATTCAAATTTATTTTCAAACCTCCAAGCGATGATTTCAACCTCATCACCGCCAAACAGACCCTAATACTAGAGCTAAACGTTATAAAAACAGAATCCGAAAACAGAAGCAGATCCTCCTCCTCCTCCACCTCCGCTGCTCTCTCTGGGTGTAAGAAGAAGAAAAAACTAAAAAGAAGAGGCCAGGGAGTGGGAAATCAGCGGTTGTGTGGGTCCACCGTTAATTCATTTCCAGATCGTCAATTCGTCGATTCCCCCTTCCACAACCCCATCTTTTCATCTTCAGGTAATCATCCTTTGTCCTTTCTTTTTATATATTTTTCTTTTTTCTTGTTGCAACTGTGATTCTTTTCTATTTTTATTAAGGGTGCATAGGAGGAGTAATAATAATGGCTTCAAAGCGTATTTTGAAGGAACTCAAGGATTTACAGAAGGATCCGCCTACTTCTTGCAGTGCAGGTGTGCAATAATTTTTAATTTCTAAAAAGCCCAGTTATTTAATCATTCTAATTTAAGCTAAATTTCAACTTCTTTCTGTCAACATTACTGTGTACTGTGCTTGGTCATGGCTTGGAGCCCGTTTTGCTTGCATTTTTATTATGTATTGAATGATCTTTTTCATGTGGAATTACTCAAGTTTGGGGTTGATAATTTTTTTTTCTGGGATATAGGCCCTGTAGCTGAAGATATGTTTCACTGGCAAGCAACAATAATGGGACCTGCTGATAGTCCATATGCAGGAGGGGGATTTCTAGTTACTATCCATTTTCCTCCTGATTATCCTTTCAAGCCCCCTAAGGTAATTTGTTTTGCTGTCAATGGTGCTATTTCTGATTTTGAGCCGTGTGGTTGCATAAAGAGGCTTTGCATTGTTTAATTGTGTGTTTTTTGGAGGGCAATTTTGTTACTTTTTCCCACCCTTCAGGTTGCGTTTAGGACCAAGGTCTTTCATCCCAACATTAATAGTAATGGAAGCATTTGTCTTGATATTCTCAAAGAGCAATGGAGTCCTGCTCTTACCATCTCTAAGGTTTGATTTCATTCTGTTAATTAAAGCTGATAACATGATAACATGTTAATATGCTATAGTTCTTGTTTATACTTACCAGTAGCATGCCCTAGTAAAGTTTGTAGGCTTCATCGGTTTTAGGATGAGTGGAGAATGGAAGAGTTTGATCGCATATTTTATGTAGCAATAGTTTAAGAATACAGTGGCATTCACACCGCTCTCTTCCAAATTTATCGCTACTGATTATGTTTATAGCTAAGAGTCTGTCTTCCATTGATTTTTTATCCTTTTGCATTGCCTGTGTGTTGCCTACAAAAGTTTTCTATCAAGAGCTAGAATGTTACTCTGAGATGACAAAGTGTCCTAAAATTAGCTTGCCAGTCTATGCTAGTCTCTGCTTGCGTGTAGCAATGGGGTGTGTTTTGGCCTCCTGTTTATCAACATGGATGTCCTCCTGTAGTTTATGTTTCTTAGGATACAAAACATGAATTGGCTGTATGTTCCATAGAAAAAGAACATGAGGGAAGCTCTCCGTTGCTGATGTTCAAACAGGGTTCTAGTTCCTTGAACTTGCTTTTCTATTTTTTATTTTTAAGAAGTTTTATCAATGTTGTCAAAGCAGAGTGGTTCAGTGGGTTAGGTGAGCACAAGGCTTTCAATTTCATTCTGAAACCAGCACAAAAGTCTCTATACTTTTTTTCATGCTACCATAGTCTAAAAAAGATTTATTACTACTAATCATTGGATGCATAATCATATACTTGGATGCACATCAGGTACTGCTCTCCATTTGCTCATTGCTGACGGATCCAAATCCTGATGATCCTCTTGTACCAGAGATTGCCCATATGTACAAGACTGACCGATCAAAATATGAAGCCACTGCTCGCAGCTGGACACAGAAGTATGCCATGGGCTGAGGTTATGGAGGCAATGTATAAATGGTTTATATTTATCGTAATATGTGTTGAAACATGGTCTGTTTTACTCTTTTGGTGTTGGTTTAAGGGTGGGTTTCAATTTCGTAAGAATGGATGACATTCCATGCACCTCCAAACAATGTTTTGGGGATTGCATGGAAAATAACTGAATGGAAAGTATGTTGTTTTGATCTAGACGTTTCTTGTTACTGCCTTTCTTAACTGTTTAGCCTTTGGCTTGGCATTTCATCTTCATTTAATTGTCTTTATCTTGCCTTCCCTGCCCATTATAATATCTAGACAATTTTTTTGTATATGTGAGTTTCATCTTTAGAGCATAGACATAGAAGGGTGCATTCCACTTCTATTTTCAACTTTGAAGATGTTGGTTGTTTCGATTTTATGTTCTTTAAGATCCAACTGTGGGAGTACGGGATCACACTTTGCCATGATAGATCCAATCTCCTGCCTAATTTTGTAGGTACTGAAATTGAATTTTTAAGATATCTTGTAGGAGATGGTGAAGCCAGGAAAAGGTTAAGCCACTCTAGGCTTAGTCCCCTTGCATGTTTAAACAGAACAAAATGAGATTTCATTGATATGGAGATTCTGTCTGGTGGGGGTGGATAGATCTTCAGGCTGAAGTCTATTCAAAGTTCCAGAGGATGGAGTTCTGCTCTCAAATGTCGTAATATCAAATAGTGAAACCTTCGAAGTGAATTCCCGTGAAATATGAAAAAAGGTATCATCGACTTCATGTAACGTTGAACAAGATGGAACATGAAGGATCCAGTTTCTTATCCTTCACATCTTGCCGCTCAGCTAACTTGCCTCCATTTTGGCAAGTTGTCATCTTGTCATCCATTGCACAATGATCCTTGGGACATCATCAGTTTTGCCTGGAACAAGGGGAAACCTTGTCGGCCCGTCATATATGACCCATCATATATGAGTTTCGAATTTTTTTTTAAAAAAGTATTTTTTTAATTTAAAAATATATTAAAATTTTATTAAGGAAAACTGCAAAACACAAACGGTGTCGAAGTAGTAAAAGAAGAGAATTAAAAGAGAGGTACCTGTTGAAGAATGAGAATGGTGGTCACTACCACCACCCAAATTGACCTAAATCCAGTCATAACAAGTCAAGCCACAAGAGGGTATTTTCTATGGCTAGGTGTTTTTTAATTTTTTGGTAGTGATGGCCGCGTGCCAAGTGATCCTAGCGTGGACATTGCTTGCACTCTAGCAAATTTAGTCACCTCTCAATCCCCAGTGAAGCCGTCTTCCTGTTGTTAACAACTAGGGCATTTGTAGGGCGTCAAGGCACATGCTTATCTCCCGCACGCCTCGTATTGTTATTGTAAGCCGGAGGAAAAACCAAAAGAAAGAACATTTTCAGAATGACCAAGTGGCTTCATTAAGGGCAGATACATCCAGGATGGCGTCCAATTAACTTCATCATTTAAACAAACAAAATATCAAAGTCAAATTACGAATCATTAAAAAGACTATTAAAGCAGATCTGACAACTCATGTTCATCGTGACAGCAATCACAATGGATTCACACGGTATTTTCCCTTCTTTTTTAAGTTCTTTTTTAATTTTATTTTTATAGTTGATCCTTTTAAATTATATTAATTTGGGCTTGAACTTTGTTATTTGCATTTGTTTAGCTTGGTAATGGCTACTAAGGTATCAAGAAACAAAACTTACTCTCGTTGATTTGATAAAATTAAATAAAATCACAATTAAAGCTATATAAATTTAATTTGAATACTGGACAAGTATTAAGCTCATTTTCCTTATAAACATTACGGGTTGAATTGCACGAGCGAAAAAGAGATTTATCCTTTCATTTTGTGTCTCTCCATTTTTTTTCCAATTTGATTTTTTTAAATTAAGTTTTGTTTTTTTTTGGCCTAAGATATGGGGATTCCATGATATCTAAAAAAATTCTAACATGCAATCGATATTTCGTTTTGCAAAATAAAATTTGATTTTATTACTCCAAAATAATCAAGGCTTTAGGAATCCAATTTAAAAATTAAAAAATTCCAAGAATTGAAAATCACAAACATGACAAATTGGTTGAGCTGGTATATGGGAAGCTGTTGTAATTTAGCAAGTCATGCACTTTCCTTTAATGTCAAAATACCCCTCCTTTGCAAGTAAGATTCTAGCCTGGGAGGGGCTTGTCCCCTTCCTCCGTATCTGGGTTCGAGTCTTACTGTGCATGCCTATCACCGCTGCGGTGCCTTATCTGCTCACTGGGCTTGCAGGATGTTCAGTGGGCCGTGGAAATTAGTCGTGGTGCGCGTAAGCTGGCCCGGACACCCCACATAAATAAAAAAAAAAATACCCCTGTCTTTGGTAGCGTTGGAAATAGCTCAACAAGAACTTTTAAGCGGCGCAACTTATGTAGATGGAGGAGTGGCAATAAGGCCCCGACAATCTTTTTATTTTTCTTTTCTCTTTTTTCTTCCCTAAAAATTTATACTGATTTACTAAAATTGAAAAATATTATATCATTTTATTTTTATATTAATTTTTTTATATTTTTTAATTACTATCTTCTCTTTGAATTTTTTTTAGAATTAAAATTTTTATTAAAAAACATAATATTCAACATGATTAGTTAAGTATTAAATCTCATGACTTTTTTGAAGTGAGCAGTTTTATTTTCGTAAACCTGAATTATATATTTGAAAAGATTAACTCGAATTGTAATTGATTTGTTATACTTCATAATTTTTTTAATAAATTATTTTATTTGTATAATATAAATTCTAAATTAGCTTAAATTAATTATAATTATTTTTTTAAAATTATTTTTTTAAATTAAATATTTTTCTAGTTTCGTTATTCAACATCATGTTGGGTTTTGGTGGACTTCCTTGGTTATGCGTATGTTTTCAGGTCCTTTATATTAATTGACTTCAACTTCATCCGTTCATACTGAATTTATTAGAAATTTAGCATTATGATTTTTATTTATTTATTTTCTATACAATTCTCCCGACTTTATGACCCGGTCCGAGAGTTCATACTTCTTTTTTTCAATTTTTTTATTCAACAATAAATTGACCGGGTTTTTTTTTTTTTTTGGGTCCAGGTCATTGTGGAACCGCTAGATCTTACAATATATATTAATTTGATAGCAAGGATATCATTGAATTAATTTGCGCGTTAACCGGTAATGAAGGCTATCTCATGACGATTTAAGGAGTTTACTCTCTGAATTGGTTGGGTAACCCTGCAGAATGTAGAGTTGTAAAATGGAGGGGATTGATAGCCATTGAATCACAAGAAGAACAGTGTGGACTCCTTGGACCTTTGTAACTTATCTCTTGTTTTTACTAGTTCAAACAGAAAAGCAAAGGACAGAAAGCGTGTCTGCTTATAAGCACAAAGCATGCTTCTTTCTCTTCTCTTTTACCTCCCTTCTTTCCTTCCATCGCTCCGCAATTAAGGACTAGGGTTTTCATTCGACCTTGACAATTCATTCATAATCTCCTTGTAATTATCTTTAAGAAAGGTAATTAATTATCCACTCCTGTCTTCATTTCTTTCTCTACACCTCTTTCTTTCTACTTCTAATGCTGCTGCTGTGTTTTTTTGTTTTTTTAGAAGAACTGATGTTAGTGTTACTAATATTATTGAAGAAGAGAGTTTAAATGCTGATTGTTGATGTAAATAACCATAATTTTGGTTCTTAAAGAGAAATGTTATGAGAGACTTTTCCTTTTTCTTTCCACACTAATTTAATTTATCTGATATGCAACAGAGGCGCTCTTCAAAGTTTTGATTCGGAGTGATCAATTTATTTATTTATACTGTTTCTGTTGTCAATTACGGTGAACAGTATAAATCTTGGCGGTTTTTTCTTTAGGTTTGTTGAAGGTTTTGGATTTTGTTCCATTTTTAGGATATTTGGTATACCACGTTAAGCTGCTTGGGATTAAAAGTTTGGAAATCAGATATGGGACTTTGCTTGGATAAGGTAAGAGTTTCCATGACAATTAATCATTTTATCTTCTTATATATAATTCCAATCCATTACTCTTTTTGTTTGTGTATGTGCAAGATTATTTGTGGATCCGGGTTTCTTATTGTTTTTCGTATTGCTTTTATAATAACACAAATGGAAAAAAAATTAGTGAACAGTCGTGAAAATGGAAGCTTATTGATGGAGTTTGGTTATCGGAGAGCTACTATGAGGAGTCAACAATTTCCAAACTAGTAGTTTATAATACTGTAGCACTAGATATGGATGAATTATTGATTAAATGAAGGTCTGGACCTTGGCTAGTATAATGTTGAACAAAAGGATTCCACAGCTAACCATGAAGTAGATGGTACTATGGGATAATGTGGCAGAATATCCTCTTGCTGAAATTCCACTTAGGATCTTGAGACGACCCTAAGCATGCCTCCTTAAAATTGAAGAGCTTTCATGTTAGAGGCTTAGAGTCCTGTCTTCTTTGACAGGGGAGCTTAAATTGGCAGTAGGATTTAACAGTGTTGGCGTGTACTGTTAGTTTCAGAAGCAATCATGTCCTGTAGGCTGCAATTATAGTGGTCCCTTGATTCATTCAATTCCTAGCATGAACTGTTTTGTGGTAACCAATGGGGAAAAACGGTATCCCTTTGCAGTTGATGTATTGAGGGTTTGACAGCAATGGCACACCAGCTGATATGACTTTGTGGCATGAAAAAATGGTGAAAAATGAGAGATACAACGCTGTTATTGTCATTTTATTGCTTCTAGAAAAGTTCCAGGACTGGTTCAATTCTGTAGCAAATATCATATCATGGTTATGCATCAAGTAAGAGAAATGGTATAGAGCCAAAAAAGCTTCTCATCACTCGTAGTTTTGGTTTAGAGAAATCGACTGTAAATGCAAAACATATTGTTATTATATGTCCTAAAAACGTGACAATAACAGTTAAGGGTTTTCTGAGTGATCAGTGAACATGAAGAAGAACAAACTCTCTCAACCACCTGGAATTTGTAAAAATTATCAAAATCTTTTTAACTTTGAATGGGAAACTTGGTTTAGAATACTGCTTTTATTTGTTTGACAATAACCAAATCTGTCTATTCCGTGATGTGCTATTGGCAGCACTCAAATGAATTTATTCAATTATGTAAAGGAAAATGAATCACTTCTGTCGGCTTAATATTTTTAAATGGACTCACTTTGAATGTAGATATAGCTGACTCCATGGTTCACTCCCCACCTATTTGCGAGGCTTCAAATTTATGTTTTAGCATCATTCCAAAGGATCAAATTGTACCTTGTCCACTGTGTATCACCAAGCCACACTCAGTGTTGTGTTTAGTGTGGACAATTGTATGTGGATTTTAGTTTATTGTTGTCTTTCATATTGCTTGCACAATAGCAAGGAAAATTGCTTCGGAGAAAAGCAGGAAAATGGAAGCTTATCAATGAATTTTGGTTCCCTTGAATGTACTATGAAAAGTTTAGAATGAAGCAATGTCCAAAATAGTAGTTTGTAAGATTGCAGAAGAAAGCAATGTCAAATTATGGAAAATGGCGGTCAGGACCTTCGCTATGGTATTGCAGAAAAGGATTCCCCAACCTGACCTTGAAGGAAAGACTGTTCATCCAAGTTTTATAAATTTGTTCCACGGCAACCAGTGGGGAAAAGAAAGAGCTTTTAGTGGTTGATTTTCATTTGCAGCATGGAAAAGATGGTGAAGAATGAGATGGATACAATATTGTTGACTTATTAATTGATTGCTTCTAGAAAAGTTCTCTAAGTTAAAATGGTGCAGGTCTGTCTCACATATCATGGTTATGCATTAGGAAGAAAAACCATATAGAGTTATAACAAGCTTCGCATCACTGGTGGTTTCAATTGAGAGATATCAACTGAATATGTAATACAAATAATTATTATGTGTCCTAAAAATATTGCGCTCACAATTAAAAATTTCATTAGCAGTCCGTGAAGTGTCAATCAACGGAGGGGAACTATTTTGAGAGGATAATACACCAACATGAAGAATAATGAACTCTCTTAACCACTCTAAACTTGTAAAACAATAACAGGAACTTTTTAAATTTGAATATGAAACTTTGGTTTAGAAATCTGCATTCTACTTTGTTTGAAAAACAAATCTGTCTATTTTGTTTTATATGCTTTTGATGTTATTCCGGTGAACTTATTTATATTTATAAAGAAAATAAATCAAATCTTCTGGCTTAATATTTTTAAATGGAATCCTTTTGAATATAGATATAGCTGACTTGTTTTATTATTATTCCCCACCTGTGCTTGTGAGTTTCCACTTTGTTATGCCACTGTTTCAGAGGATTAAATTGTGTTTTGTCTGCTGTAATCGCCAATGCGCACTGATACTCATGTTTTGTTCTTATCCTATGGAAGTCATACAAGGACAGGGTTCTGAGTGTTCATGGTTTTTGCAGCATAAACGTGATGCAGACAGTGATGAGCTCCATGTTGAGTTTGCTGGTGGTAATGTGCACCTCATAACCACAAAAGAGAGTTGGGATCAGAAGCTGTCAGAAGCAAGTAGGGATGGCAAAATTGTAAGTTTGATTTTTGTCCATGCACGAGATTATTATTTTTCCGCTGTCCTTAATAATACACTATTATGTGTTTTGGCTGAGAATTATAGCCTGAGGTTGGCAAATTTCTAACAGTTCTATTGAGAACCAAAATAAGAGATGAAATAGGTTCATCCAAAAGTTTTCCATTATTTCTACTCAAGCAGGGGGGCAGCTCTCATTTGCGGCTGTTACTATATGATTTATGCTGGTTGGGTTTGGAAGTCAGCTACTGCATGAAAAGTTTGTTTGATCTACCTGACTAGTGTTTTCTAATAATCTATTTTCATTTTGAACTGAATATGGATGTTTAACAGGTGCTCGCAAATTTCAGTGCAACATGGTGTGGTCCTTGTAGACAGATTGCACCGTTCTACAATGAGCTTTCTGAAAAATACCCATCTCTACTGTTCTTATTGGTCGATGTTGATGAACTATCTGTAAGTTCCAAATTCTATTATATTTGAATGATATTCCTTTTTCTCTTCTCATCCATCTAAACAGGCTGGACTTGCATGTAAGCACTGTCTCTCATTTTTTTTGAGACTTATCCTGCAGTTTGCACAACTGATATTGAAGAAATATTAAAAAAAAAAAAAGAATCCTGATTTTGGAATTTGTTCATTGAGCAGAATATGCGGAACTTAATCTGCTGTTATATATTGATATTGTTATAGTTTCTGTTTACATGAGAATATGTCGATCCAAATGATGGTGGATGTCAGTATCATATTGTGTGTGTTTTGCAGGACCTCAGTACATCATGGGAGATCAAAGCTACTCCTACTTTCTTCTTTCTTAGAGATGGGAAGCAGCTGGAGAAGCTTGTAGGAGCCAACAAGCCAGAGTTGCAGAAGAAGATAACTGCTATTGTAGACTCATTGCCCCCTAGTGACAAATGACTGCTGTGATGGTATCGAGCAACTTGAGTATTTTAGTGCTTCAGTTGTGAGGTTCTATCTGTATGTTTTGTGCTTGTCACGTAGATATGACCAATTTGATGAAGGTATTCTGTTGTTGATATGTGGTCAGAAAGAGCAATTCCACTTGTGAAAGACTGCTTGAAGGGTGTAGACTTTTGAGTGTTTGGAGTTGGAATTAGGGTTAAAGTTTGATGTAGTCGGAATTTGGTTTTTGTTTTAGAAGGGTTTGTTGATGGAATAAAGCGCTGTGAAATAAAAGCTATTTTTCTTCGAAGAAGAAGAAAAAGGAGTTGTGAATAGCAATTTGAGGTACTCTTTCAAGCTTGTTCCAAGTCAAGAACTCAGGGAGACGGAAAGAAGAAGTAGTAGAAGAAGAAGAGCATAGACTCCAAGTCTATAAATATCTTTAAAACTAGCAATTTTATTTCATAATAACTCAAATTATGAATAACATGAAAGCAAGCTGAACTAAGAAAGAAGAGAATTAATTTGCGTGCGTGTTTAATATTGTTGGATTAAATAATCAAGATTCACGATTGTAAGTCGAAGAGATTGTTTCTGTGTTTTATTTGCTGTTTCAATTCAATTCCTGTTGTTTTAATTTTTTGTATAAAAAAATATATAACTTTTAATATAAAAATATATTTTTGAAATCTCGAGAACCCTCTGTCAAGTTTAAAGATACAAACTATCAAGACCTTGCAAATTGATTCAATGCCTAAGAATCGAAATGAAAAAAAAAAAAAAAAAGGCGATACAGTGCCATTCGGTCTGCCTCCTCAATATAATGAACACTAAATTAAGGATTCCCTTCAGTGTTTTCTTTTAAATAAAATAAAATTCCTGGCACCTTTTCAGGATATTGGCGCGCTAGAGCTACTTGGAAATTTTTTTATTTGGCTGTCTAAATATGATCAGATATGGGACAAAGCTTGGCTAAGGTAAAATTTTATGCATATCGAAAGCTTTGCAAACGGGAAAGTTGAAATTTCTTTCTCTGCATATATGAATTTTCTTCTTCTGTTTTTTTTTTAATTAATATAAATATTCGAGCCAGCTTGTGTATATATAAACTAATCGAGCCTTGTCCACAGCTAATCACCATTACACAGTCGGTAGTGTGCATTACTATGATTAAAAAGAATTAAGAGTTCTAATGTTCTTGATACTTGCAGCATCGACACGATGCAGATGATTTTACATGGGATTTCACCAACGAGAGTTGGGATCAGTAGCTGTCAGAAGAGAAAGCAGGGATGGAAAGATTGCAGGATTGATTTCTGTCAATATCTTGCTACCCTTTCCAATGATAAGCTAGATGTCTAAAGCTGATTCAAAGAGCTTCGATAAGAGATAAGCAGGAACATCTAAAAGTCTCCTCTTATTTTCACCCAGGCAGAGAGGCTCAATTCTTCTTTGCAGCTTTAGCAGTGTGATATGTTGCTTTGGTGGGTGCATGGAACAATTTTACAAGCTAATCTGTTTTTAGTTCTGAGCAAGTGCAGCTCGTGAATCTTAATTCATTATGGCGTGATCATCGTAGACTGATTGCACCATCCTACAAGGAGCTGTCTAAGAAAGACACTCCACTCCTTTAATGTTTGCTACATGTTGATGCAACAATTGTAAGATGCAAGTTATATGAAGGACTAATCATCTATATTTTCCTTTCATTCACCTAACTGGTAGGATTACTTATAACTGGTAGGATTTCAGCTCTTGCCATGTAAATACGACCAATACTCTGAATAAGTTTTTTTTTTTCAAAATTAGCACAATAAAACAAAACAAAATAAATAGTACAATACAAAAAATATTTAAAGAAATAACACAATTTAACAGGTCACATGCAACATCTATGGCTTATGAGTTGCATGTGACTGCAATTAAATTAAAACTCAACTCTTATTTTTTTTCACCTTTCTTTTTTTATTTTCTATCTTTCCTTACCACTACCATTGCCCCGCCCATCTCACTCTCTTCACCACGAAACACCCATGCTACAACCCCAACACTACCTCTTGTCCCCCACTTTCCTCTCACACTCGTAGGCCTCTCTTTGATGTTGGTTGCCATTACTATTTAGAGCTACCCTTTCCTTTCAACATTTAAAGGTATGTTACATCTCCTTTATCAATTTCATAGTATTTTTGTTAATGTTAGATTTTAAATATTTTAGGATTTATGGTTTAGAGTTTATAGAGTAATTTAAAATTTTTATGAATTAGATTTAAACTATGTCAATTAACTATAAAATACATTAATTTGATTTGATAATTTTGTTATTTATGGAGAAAATTGATAAATTTAGGTTGTCGATTTTGTTATGGTTATGGTTTTTTAGGTTAATTAAGGATTTTTTTCAAATTAGGTATAAGTTATGTTAATTATGCATATGTTGAGTTGATAAAAAAATTGATGGATTTGAGTTGTTGCTGATTATGTTATCGTTTAAGATCTCTATCACAACCAAAATATTGTTATCTTCTCCTAAGTGTAAGAGTGTCAAAGTAATAAATAACTCGATAAGACCGGGGTCGAATCACAAGGAAGTTAATTGTATAAATTATAAATAATAACAACAACAATAGTAGTAGTAATAGTAGTAGAAAAAGAAGAAGAAGTTGATGAGAACTTTGAGATGGAAGATCAATGTTAGGATTAAACAATGATAACAAGTATTTCAAACAAGTATAGTATAAACTCTTATTACTCAAATGAAAACCACACACAAATGAGGTTCCAATCAGATTATAAATTATTAACATGATTACATTGGTTATCTTATTTAAATAATGCTAATACTTGTAAATATTGTTAGGTATTCATGATTATAACTTATGTTAACAACAAATCAAGTTCCTTTCATAGCACAAATATCGGTTATACCATACAATTTGTGCTATGAAAGTGTCAAGCATTTGTTGTACCAAGTGTTATAAAACATAAATCTAGATTAGTCATTTAACACGTAAAGTATTAAAAGTAAACAAGATAATAAATACAAAATATGTTAGTATCAAACATTAAAGTCCATATTGAGTTTACACTATACTTATTCTTACATCATTAGTGTAACTTTTTCACCTTAACATAATAAACTTAACTAAACATAATAGAAGAGAGAAATATAAATAAACAAGATAGGAATATAAATAAGATAAAAGTTAACTAAGTAAAGGAAAGGAAATAAAAGGTATAAAAAAGATATTAATAAAAGCAAAATTTAAGCATTACAAAAATACAAAGAGAAAAAGCAAGAGCATGATCTTGATCTGGAAACCAAGATGCCCAAATATATGAAAAATATCTCCTTTTATAGTACAAAATAAAAACTATTGATTTGATGACTAATTGATAAGTGAGTGACTATATCTTGACTTGATGACAATTCTTGTCTTCTTGTATGAATAAAACATCATTGATAACGTCATAATTTGAATTAGACCTCTATATGAAAGTTCTAAGAAATTATCTCATATTTTCAGAAAAAAATTGAGGTCATTTGGACTTCTAGAACTCAAGATATGGGCTAAACACTGAACAGTATCTAAGCTACAGAACAGATTTAGACTTCTTCATTGTTGCTACAATTTGAACTTGAAAACAACCTTTTTAAATCTTGGACTCCCATGAAAGTTATAGACTTATATCTTATCTTTTCATCCATATAAAGTAGACCTAAATTCGAGATTTACAGCTTCAGATATGACCCAATTACCAAACAGAGTTTCAGTTTGGACTACACCAGCATCTCTTTTCTAAGTTTGGCCATCTCTTTGTCCTTTCAATTCAATACTTAAACTCATCAATTAATCCTTTTATTTATATGATAGGCCTGCATTTAAGATGAGCATTTACCACAAATTAAAGGTATATTATATTATTAGATATGTTATTATAAAACATGCATTAGTAAAGATTTATTGATACTTCAAGTGTAAAATAATGATATAAAACCTTAATAAAATACACTTTTAAATACTAATCAATCTCGTTGCATAAATTTTTTTAAAATTATATACATTGACTAATTTGTGATATTGATAAATTAGGTTTGAGATTTGTTGTGTTATTAAATAAAATATCTTGTAATGTTGGAATATTATGCTTTTATGTGGTACTATTATCAATAGTAGCAGTAGTATCACTTACAATGGAGAAAATAATGAATTTTTAATTGCTATAAATTTTTTGTTGTGTTATATCAGATAGACATGTGATAATAATAAATTTCATAGCACAAATATTTTTTTGAGCTAAATAGGTATCATAATTATTGTTCACAATACTTAATACTTTGCTAGTAATTTCAATACCATATTAAAAATGTTGTATAAGATGTGTCGAGAACTTTCAAAATAAGATCTTGACACTTTTTATTTTGGTATGATTAAGTCAGATGATGACAATAAAATAGTTAGAAATTAAACCTAAATAGAAATATGCATTCTTATATGATGGTGGTCATCGTTATGTCAATATAACCACCAATGTCTTTAAGGTTTTTAATAATGTATAGAAAGGTGTCTATAGATTACTAGTAATGACTATAATACAAATGATATTTTTAGGTCTAATAAATATTTTATTAAGCAAATAGCTAGACTTAAAGAATTCTTAAAATATGAGCTATTATAGCATCAAATTGTCCTTACTGTTATTGATGCAACAATATTAAAAACATATGTGACAAGTGTATTCGATCTTGCAAAAATCTTATTTTGGGTTCAGACCTTTCCAATAGCTAGTGTTCAAAAAGAAATGCGAGAAATAATTGATATTAATAGAGGAAGTGCAACTATGATGAATGAAAATTATATCACCGACCATGCTTTCATCTCATTATATGTACTTTGTGAAATATTAATCATGTTCAATTTATTAATCCTTTCTTTTCCAACACAATGAATAAGAATTATATACTCTTTATTTTTTTACATTTACCTGATACATTATGGTGGCTTGAATATACTAGGCCAATGGTATATGGATATCCAACTAGAAAGAGAATGGAAAAAAGGTTAAAGGAAATTCACTGTTATACATTAAAAGATGGATGATATATTGAAAAAACTGAATCTCTAATTATGATATCACTAATACCATTAAAAAGATTTTGACGGGAAAAATCTAACAACATTAAGGATGGTTACCAATAGAGACTAGAGCAGACCACACTTGCTATCAAAGGTAAGTCCTACCACCTTTGGACAATAATCCATTAGTCTATTTTTTTCCTCTCTTATTTAATCTCTCATTTCTCATCCTCATAATGTGTAACCCATTTCACTTTTATTTTAAAATGTCATAATTCTAAATAACAAGTTATGAATGTCACGTTTTCCAATCGCGACATATACAGATTGTGTTATTTCATCAATTTTTTAAAACTATATTATTTCACTAATATTTTAAAAAAAAATGATTTTTTTTTAAATCTTGTTTTACATAATGTCATGACATAAATTCTCAACAATTTGGTTAGTGGTTTTTTCTTTGAAAGGGATATTGTAGATGCAATCTTCATATTTTACCACCTAGTGCCTATTAATGCAAGCTCTGCTTATTAACTATTTTAGGAATCTTTAGAATATCTTGAAAGCAATAGCATCCACAAAGCTTGACTCTTTCTCCTTTGACCATCGCATTCTATTATAGGTTTTTTGAGCCAATTTAAGTATGCAAAAAAGCAAATAAAATAAAAAGACTAAAAGAGTTGTCAAAAGTTGGACGACATATCCTTTTTTGTTATAGCTTTATCTCTATAGCACTTTTAAGTTTTCTAACTAATAAATTATAGATAGAGGTCTCATTTGACAGAGAAGATACAATCGTTGGGTATGATCCTTAATAGCACAAAAACACAAATAACAAAAGCATGTTTTTCATGTTTTTACTTCATTTTCTATTTTTTCCTATATGAAAAGTTGTCACAACTACTCCACCAAATACATTCGTAACCCTTTATGGATCTGTGAGCACCCCTAAATTTCCCTTGTATAATATTGTTGTGTCATTTTGCTAGCATCATCAATTATGTCATTAGCTATTTTGGAACTTCTATTATCATGTGGCGCATATAGTTTCAAAATAGGCCTTACAAACATAACACCTGAGCTTACTTTTCAGTTTATGCACGATGTCATTTAGAAACCCTTAACAATTAGGTTAGAAATTAAAAGGGCTTATGAGTTAAATGATTATATTTCATTCTCAAATTCAAGTAGGAGCTAGTTTAAGTGAATTTACTTTTTATCATTCTGTTTATATTATTCTGGATACAAATAACATATATAAGAACTTGGAATAGATTGTTCTCTGTACACAAAACCTAAAAACTAATGTAAAATGATGCTTGTCCAAAATGTTTTTTATATCATTGAGTTGATAACTAGATAAGAGGCTTGTACTATGCTATAAGCTGACCTAAATTTTTTCCAACTTAAAAAAAGATGCTAAGGTGACACAAAAGTTCCTAAAAAAATAGGTCATTGACTTAATTTTGTTTAAAAAACTCGACTAATTAAAATAAAATAAACAAAAAAAAATGCAACAACAATAAATAATATGAAGAAAAAAAATTGACAAAGTAAAAGAGCAAAAAACCCAACTCGAGCTTACTCAGGTTAGCATGTCAAATTTACAATATGGTCGTGATATCGATGTAACCTCGTTGAAAACAAATTGAATAAAATTATAAAGCTCAATTATCAAACAATTCAATATTGAAGGATGGAACTAAAATAAAATTAATGAAAAAAAACAAAAAAATCCAAGTCAACCCAAGTTAAGTCGTTAAACCCGCGATCGTGAACACATGATTGTGATAACTCTATAAAAAAGATTAAAAAATAAAAAGGCTCGCAGACTAACCCCTAATAAATAAAATATTAAAGGATGAAAAAAATCAATTTTAAAAAAGAACCTAAAAAATCAAAGTCATCATGTGTTAACCTACTAAACTCGTGACTTTGGTCATAAATCTGGAACAAACCCCATAGTAGGCAAACCCTACAAAATAAAGACGCAAAATACAAAATGATGAGATTGAAAAAGAAAAATGCAATAAAGTTTTCCAAAATATTACAATTAAAATAATGATGACTAAATTTGATGTAAGAATAATTTAATATCAAATGTTGAGAGATGAAATTAAAAAATAAAATGATAAATGATAAATAAATAAATAAATAACATTTAAAAGAATGAAAATTAAATTTCTTAAAAAAGTTAAATTAAACTAAATGATGAGGGGTGGAATTGAAGAAAAAAATTGATCAAAAAAATTAAAAAACAAAACAAATAACAATCATAAGAACGAGGATCATATTAGAATAAAAAAATAAATAACATCTTTATATTTTGACAAGAAAAATAAGTTAAAGAGGAAGGTGAAAAAAATTTAAATGGAACTCAACCATCACACTACCTCCCACATAAGTGGTACCAATGTAAAGAGGGTAATGAGATACTTTCAATACCATCCCAAAAGATGGTGTTTAATAATAAGGTAATATCATACATACCACTAATTTTTTTAATAATATTTATTTTATTCAAAAAACCAATTTGTCATCTATCAACTTGTTTATTAAAAAAAAATATGAAAAAGTCTCTTTATATAAGTTCAACAATTTTTGCATATAAAGGTAATATATAATTTTTTTAAAAAAAAAAACCAGAATTGCCTCCATGTAAAAAATATTTTATTTGTTAGAGTAATATTGTATATTTAAAAGGTAAAAAGATCAAGTTACCTCTAATTAATTTTATAATATCTAATGGACATTGGACCCTTAGAGAAAGATCTTCCTACCTCAAACACGAAGGCGTTGATTTTCTTAAGGGCAAAATAATAATTATATAATTGTCACGATATCATGCTACAGAATTTTGGAACGTGGCCGCTCCGGAACAGAGTCGAATAGAAAACTAAAGCCTACCTGGATATACTCTCTGGTTATTGGTTCAGCCTGCACGCTAACTATCTATAAGAACTAATAATAATATAATATTTTATCAAAATTCTTCACTCATGAAAGTCAATCAATCAACACATCCTATGCCAGCTCTGCCAATGACTTTCCCCGCGTTTTTGCCAGCTGATTCAAATATTCGTTGAACCGAACAGTCTGGCCTGTCCTCGTTATGACAGCAATCAACTTGGCCCCCACAACATGTCAGGGACCAGATTTGATGGCACTCCAGACCATCACATACTAACAACTACCACATGAAAACAAGCATCGTCAGACATGGACGGTTGCTCTATCCAAATCCAGACACTTGAGAATCTAAGCAAGAAGGAAGATAGATTGTAGAGATACAAATAAAAGTTACACCACACGCTTCAGGTGAATTGTAGATACAAATTATAGTAATTGATTTGATCAAAACATATCAGAACCAGGTGAACAGGTAACTAAATGAATTTGATAAGAAAAAAATTAAAGAAAAAAGCCAAATTCAAGTCCTCTGATGATTGGCAGCAGATTGCAAACTGCCTTACTGGGTTTCCGAAAACTTGATAACAAATCCAGTCCTGTTTATGATCTCATCTTCCCTTCGGGTTCATGATCTGTGAGAAAACAGCACTTGGAGTTAAGCCATCAGAGTCTTCACTGGCGAGGCTCCGACCGCCTATGCTCATACTGATTCCACTGCTCCTTGAATCTATTACATTACCATCATAACCAAGGGATGCATCAGGATCTTTCTTCCCTTTATAGGCAGCTTTGAACGGCACCTCCTCGTCTGCTCCGACAATACCCTTGGCACCGTCCTCTGCACTCTCTTGTAGCTGCAAGGCAAACTCTAGGTTCCAGAGCACGTCACCCATTGATGGCCTGTCAATGCTTTGATCAGAGACGCACTTCATTGCAGTCTCGGCAAACTTTTTGAAGCATTCTGGTGCAATCTTCCCCTTCAGATAGGGATCAAGAATCTGATCAAGAATGCCTTTCTTATGGCAATGAGCAGCCCATTCTGCCAGGCTCACCTGTTCCTTGGGCAGCGTTGGGTTCAAGGCTGGTCGAGCACAAAGTATCTCAAAAAGCACAACTCCAAAAGAGTAAACATCCGATTTTTCAGTTAGTTGCTGCCTCCTGAAGTACTCTGGATCCAGATAGCCAAAACTACCTTTGACAACAGTGCTGACATGAGTGTGATCCAAAGTAGGGCCTGTTTTTGACAACCCAAAATCAGAGACCTTAGCAACCCACTTCTCATCCAAAAGAATGTTTGTTGTCTTGACATCACGGTGGATGATAGTGTACTTTGCACCAGTGTGGAGATAGTGCAAACCACGAGCAGCCCCAATGCATATCTCAAGTCTTTGCTTCCATGGCAGAGGGGGCTTTTGGGTTTTGTATAGATGTTCACGCAATGTTCCGTAGGCCATGTGGTCATAAACAAGGATCATCTCAGTATTCTCTTCACAGTACCCAATCAATGA